GCAGGGGTGTCAAATATGCAGCCCGCAGGCTGGATCAGGCCCGCACACAGTTTAAATCCGGCCCGCGAGATGGTGCAAACCTTATTTTCAGACTTTACAATGTAAAGTCTGAAAATAAGCTTTCATTTTTCTGTTAAACTGCTGGTGAAAGCTAAAAGATGTCAGGTATCAGGAGTCAAAGACATGCATGAAACTGATATAGCCATGTGATCTGTGAATCAGTTGTTTGAATTACTGAGGAATAGTCTGGGTTTTTTGTTTTGTATTTAACATTTTCAAATACACTTCAGGTGTTTTATTATTAATAGTGATGTTGTGCTTAAACTATTTTGGATACACTGTCCTCAGGCTCCAGCTTTGTTTTATGTTGATCGTATTAAAACAAAGAAAACAATCTGAAGCAGTTTTTTAATTTATACATACTTTAATTTTACTGGTCTGGCCCATTTGGGACTAGATTTTCCTCAATGTGGCCCCTGAGCAAAACTGAGTTTGACACCCCTGATTTACAGTCACAAATATATCTGCATGATGATTTTATTTTGGTTTAATTTGCTTAATTTCACTGTATTTAATATGAAATTACATTACTACAATAAAAATGGCAGAATCATTAAAGGTGCATGAAGTAAGAATGACATCATGTAATCAAATTTGGGTACTGCAGTCCATGTTTTAGGGCTAGGCGATACTAGGCGCCTGGCCTCGCGAGGCAATGTTTTGCAAGGCCAGGTGCCTTGTTTACGAGGACACTGACCTTCCTTGGTCAAAGAAAACGGTTGGCGGTCACATAGTGTCAAGTGACACGGGAGATAACGTTATAAGTTTAAATATTTAAGCAATATCACACGAGAGGGAGTGCGTTGTTGCTGAATATCAGCACTGGTGTGATTCGGTCGTAGACACGAGGCCGCAGGCCGAGTGCCGTAGATAATCACACCAGTGCTGATATTCAGCCACAACGCACGACCTCGAGTGTGATGTTGCTTATACAACAGTTCTACCTGCTCATTTTATTTTTATAACAACAATAAGCAACAACAGATTATGATTTGTTCATTTATTTAATAATTTATCAGACTCCGCCAACACAAATAGTCCCGACACGAAACGGAGACTCAGACAATGTTGTTGCTAGGCAACACAAACATTTTCTACAATAATGGTTAGAAAGCCTGTGCACAGCGGAGTGATACTGTTTGTAAACAGTCCCAGTGCTGTTAGAGTCCAACATCAGCATTCTCGGAAAGTCTCTTGACAAATCAAATCACTCGGTCGGAACTAACTGTTGTATAAAAATATATAACGAGTGTTTTACTGTTAAAATTGTGTATATATTTGTTAAATTAAATATGTAAGTGAGTTACTACCTGCTAGCCACCAAAGCTGCAACTAACCAACCATAGCTAACTGCTGTGGATGTAAAAACATTTCAGATATGAGCCCAATAGCTACAATTAGCTGACTTACATTTAAACTTGAAATTTGCCCCCGAAGTAGCTGCCGGCTTCTGATCCGCCATCCTTTTGAAAATACCACGGTGTATTCTGGGAAATTTTTGACCAAGGCTAGGCTACAACACCTGCTGTGTATCCTTGCTCAGCTAGCTAAACGACTAACAAACAGAGAACACACGCCTCGGTAGAACATGAACATTGGAACAGGCCTTGGCGGTTTCTGATGACGTATCTCCTAGGTAACCAGGGCAGGGCCAACACATCAAGGCAAGGGTCCTTGGCATTGAGAAACACCTCTGGTGTCACTTGACTTGAGGTGGTAGTTTCTTAAAGGGACATGAACCTTGCTAACCTACACACATCATTTCATTTGATACTAAATTTATTGACATGAGAAAAATGATAACGGTTAGAGTCGGAAATTTTGATAATGATACATTTTCAATTTATTGCCCAGCCATACCATGTAACAAACGAGTTTGCTCTGAGTAGGTGTTGCCAGTTTTGGATCAGCGCCAGAAGATTCTAGATGACGAGCGAAGATGAACCATACATGGTCAGTTAATGAGTAGATAAATACATTTCACAGAAAAATTTTGTTTTTGGTAACTGAAAAAGTAGCCTGAAATATTTTCAAAGCTGACAATTATTTTCTAAATCACTGTTGGCATTGTTAGCTCAATGTTAGCCTCTAGCCTTCTATATCTGATATTGAGTGAAACAATAAACATCTTACTTTCTTTTGTTTACATTGTTTGCTTCTTTTTTTCAGTTCTGAATTAGCTAACACACTGATTTTTGCTGGTCAGTGTCAAATTACAAATGCCGGCACAGACTTGGCAACCCCACAGGCTCAAATATGATTGGCTCTGGAACCAGAAAGTGTGAAGGAGGGACAGATTGTAAACAATGATTAGGTCCCTCTTTTGCCTTTTAAAAAAGGAGAGTGACAGGGAACCATTCAGTGTAGAGCCCTGCACGGGCCTAAAATCTGAGCCTGTGTCCGGCCCGGCCTGAGGGGGTGGAACCCCAGCCCGACCCGGCCCGAAAAAGTTTTCAGGATTCTCTGGCCCGAACCGAGCCCGACTTTTGTTTAACCAACTAAATGAAAACAAAGTGCGTCAGTCCTGACCAATGTGTTAAGAGACGTGCAGGATCCGATCAATTTGTTTTTCCCTCATTTACTGTCACGGAGATGACGGCGCAGGCTCTGGTGGTAATCAAGTTAAATTTTATCTCTTTCCAACAATTTTCACAAGAAAACGAAACAGTCAAAAGCAAGGCTTGTGTTGTGTTCACCGGACAGTTCCCGTATTTGACCGTTTATTTTGACGGAGAAAGAATAGAAAGAATTACCCCGACGCATGCAGACGAACTGACATTTTATTCGTTTCGCACATTGCAGATGTAGCTAAATCACCCAAGAAAAGATTCCCATCTGAACATCTGAGCTGGACACTGCTCAGCGCAGCTCGCTGTCAGCGCATATGTGCACAACGAGCTGAAGTTGTGGAGATTGGCTTGGAGCGCATTACAGAACCAGAGCGCATGCGGGAAGGTTCCTCCCACTGAAGCGAGTGTTTTCAAAACCCGGTCCCTCAGACAGACTTGTCACTTAGAAAATGTTCCCTGATTATGAAACTTTGGCTGAATAGCGCTTGTTCCTGTCTCCAATGTGGCGACACATCCAGGAGCCGTCTGAGAAGAATCCCAGAATCTCACATCCTCTTCAGCTCAGAAAGCGCCTATGATTACGCACAAGCGTGACGCGTCAACCCGGTCTCACAGTAAGACCGGGTTGGGCCTGTTCAGGTTTACGCAGACAATCTTTACATAGAATTAACTTACAGATATAAAATTAATTCAGCATATATAAAGCATTTTATTTAAATATCCATTCATTATTTTACAAGCACAGAGAGCCGCATCAGATTCAGATCAGCGGGAAGATTCCTCCGACTGAATTCAGTCGGAGGAATCTTCCCGCATGCGCTCTGGTTCTGTGACATGCTCCAAGCCCCTCTCCACATCTTCAGCTCGCTGTGTACCTTATGTAGTACACGCTGACCGCGAGCTGCGCTGAGCAGTGTCCAGCTCAGATGTTCAGATGGGAATCTTTTCTTGAGCGATTTAGCTACATCTGCGATTTGCATAGAATAAAATGTCAGTTCGTCTGCATGCGTCGGGGTAATTCTTTCTATTCTTTCTCCTTCAAAATAAACAGTCAAATACGGGAACTGTCCGGTCAACACAAGCCCTGCTTTTAACTGTTTTGTTTTCTTGTGAAAATAGATAAAATTAAACTTGATTAACACCAGAGCCAGGAGCACTGTGCCATTATCTCCGTCACTGTAAATGAGGGAAAAACAATTTGATGGGATCCTTTTCTGACCTTCCCCACCTACAAAGTTTAATTACAACAATCAAACGTGACAGAGCCTGGATTTGTATTCTGAACAGTCTAAACATGTTTTAAAAAGAAACATATGACAAAAGTGGCAACTGCTCAGTAAAACCATCAACAGGGTGAAAAATATCAAACTATTGTAGGCAGAGACGGGCTACAACTTCTGGATCCACTTTATATAAATCGTTTTATTGATTATCGTCTTATGAAAGATAACTTTGACGTACACGAGTGACCGGTACTGGCTGCTGTCACCTGTTGTGAGCAGCGCTCTGCTGTCTGAGGGTAGGCCCCGCCCACAACGCCGCAGCTGCTGTGGCTCCCAGTGTTTTCTTTACTGTGGGAAATGGGTAATAATGGCTCTTTGATGGGAACAGGTTGCCGACCCCTGGTTTAAGTGTTTCAATTTTTTTAAATGAATTCGATTAAAAATAAAGGCGCCCGGCCTGGCCCGTGTCCGAGGTAATTACACAGTCGTTGGCCCGAAGCCCGGCCTGAGGGCCGTCGGGCCGGGCCGACCCGAGGGCCTAGGGCTTCAGTGCAGGGCTCTAATTCAGTGGTCTGAGAAGAAAATCTGTTTCAATACAACCTTCCTTCCTGGCATGGCAAGCCATCCTAAATATGTGTGTGTGTGTGTGTGTGTGTGTGTGTGTGTGTGTGTGTGTGTGTGTGTGTGTGTGTGTGTGTGTGTGTGTGTGTGTGTGTGTGTGATTTATTTATTCTGGCCACAGTCTATTGATGCCTCTCAGTCGACGGCCGGGATCTACGGTTGTCTTTCAAACTGTCTCTTTTGGATAACAGATAACAAGATGTACTCGCAGACATCAGTCAACAAGGCAGTCTGTTATACTCCTTCAAAGACGACACAAAAACCTAATTTCTCTAAATAAACGTTAGTAGCTCTATCGGCTCTTGAGTCAAAGAAAAGCCCAAGTCTACAAGATCCAAAGTTGATGTCAGACCCATTTCAAGCGAGCTATCCGCCATCTTTGAGTTCCAGTAACATCCCGCCCACCAATCCAATAGTGCTGTCGGCATCTTGTTCGCTCAGTTATACTAACATCCTGCCCACTTGACTGATAGAGCGTTGTGATTAGCCATTTAGAACAAAAACTGATTTCTGGTGTGTTTCTGACCCCAAGCATCTTGTAGAGGTAGTGGTACTGTTGTCCAGTGGAGTAGAGCAGGTAGGTCCTCAGGAACAGCCAGGTGTTGGCTCCCAGCCACAGCATCTAAACACACACATACACACACATCATAGAGTCTGCAGTAAAAACTATGAGCATCTTCAGTCAGACAGCAAATAAACACAAGCAGACTCTCTTTACACCCAAAAAGCCTGTAAGGCGGGGTTCTCCAAACTTTCAAAGACAAAGGCCAAAATCTGCTGTCCTTGCATGACCACAATTTTAAAATGCTCAAATGATATTACAGTTATTTTCCCCCTAAAAATGTGTCCAGAATCGACTAATTAGTAACAATATGAACATAAAAATGTTAGAAAGTATCACCCTACATCAACTGACTGCTGAAGATATAAAATTCATCATTCTAGGAATACAACTGGGGCCGCACTTAAGTCTTCAGAGGGCCCCCGAGCCACACGTTGGACATTTCTTCTGCGGGATTATAAGCATTAACAGTCAGAGCATTTGATGTTCTTTACAATTTAGATGAAACTCACTGCAAAACAACTAAAGTAAAGTTGACAAAAGCATTTCATTGACGGCTGGTGACAAGAGAGGAGATAATTAGCTCGTTCATTACAAAGTTCTCCCCACCAGGACCAAGTGCTTTCCTCCCTCGTTGGCGACCCAACTCCGCACCGACACAGCCATGGTGCGTCAGACCCTCTGCCGCTTCAGCCGCCCAGAGCTCCCACCGAAGCCTCGGTGAACCGTCCTCCTCCTCCTCCCGCTGGAGCTGTCTCTGCCTGCCCGGCCGGGTTCGGCTCTGCTCCGTGCTCTCGGCGCTCCTCCTGTCTGCTCTGAGCAGGTTTGGGCATTTGACCCTCCCACGTCACCCACACCTCCAACAAAAAGTCAAACTGGGACGCTATTATCATCTTCACCTCTGAGTCCTACTCATATTTAAAGTTCTGCTCAGCGGGAGTGAATTTAAAACACCAGAAATCCGCAAATGATCCAGAATAAAGTCTGCAGAGAACAATCATATAACCATCAGAGAACGACGAGTGCTGCGCCTTTCTCCCACTAGAGGGAGCCAGACACCAACATGTTAAGGACAGAGGCCTGTTCACAGCCTCACTGTTTAAACTACAGCATTTTTTTTTTTTAATAACAGATGTTCTGTTGCTGAATTTTAAATCGGTTAAATGCACACTTGGCAGTTTTGAATTGATTGTAGCACCTCCTAGTGTCCTGTTGGCAAAAGAAAAAGTGAAACACCTGTTGTACGGTATTCTGGCCACAGAGGGCGGTGGGGTCTCAGTGACATTTCATTAACCCACTTACTGGTTCAAGAAAATATTTTTAAAATATGCAAAAGTTCCATAGCATGGCTTTAATTATATTAGCAACTTTACTTCCCTAATGATGGCGAAAATTTGCACATTTCCTCCACACCCCGACAGTTTTGTTTGTTTGTTTGTAAAACAAAAAAAGTAAAAACCTTTGAATACAGGAAAGGCACAACAAACTGCATCAAAATTTTCTTAAAAGGAGAATTATTCCCAATTAAAAACGGTAGATAGTAAAAACAATAATAAAAAAGTGTGCTGTGTTCCACATTTCATTACAATAAAGGAAATACAACACTAGTCTACTTCTTTTCTGACTCAGAACATTAAAGTGAATAAATACTAAACAATTCTGGATCCTAATGGTAGATAAAGTAGGTTTAACTGTTTTCAAACCTTGTTTAACTTATTGGAGGGTAATAGACCCTCACTGCCTTCAGAGTGCTTTAATTGCCCCCAAAAGGAACTGGAGATTGTTAATGAGAGAGGTGTCTGGATTTCCCTCTCGGACCTGCTACTTCCTACTCTGGAAAAAAAGGAAGACAACAAAGAAATCCTTATTGTGGTTATTTTTTTTATTCCACGAATAAAACTGGCAATTCTAAATGAGGATTTCGAAACTAACAAAAAGGATGAAAAAGAGATAAATAAACATTAAAGGGGCAGCCGGAGGTTGAGAGGGTTGTCCAGCAATCGGAAGGCTGCAGGTTTGATCCCAGCTCCAGCTGCTGTGTCATTGGGCAAGACACCTAACCCACCTTTCCTGCTAGTGGTGGCTGGTGGGTAGCCTCATAGGTGGCCTAGCCAGCCCCATGCTTCTTTATGGAAAACATTGGATCTGGGAACTCTCCAATTGAAATAACCCCACCCCTGAGAATTCTAACTAACCAAGCCAATGAGCACTGAGCAGCGTACGTCACAGACTGCGACTCTCCGTTTCTCATAAACAATGAAGACGGTGTCTGAAGCAGAGTTGTCTGCAGCTCTTTCCTCTGTTCCAAATGACTTGGATATTTCTTACAATCACAACAAGAAGAAGCGTGTCAGACGTCTTTATTGACTACAGCTAAAATACTACAGCATCGCGCTGTACAGTCGGCATTTACGCCTTTTTTCTGATTGGTTATTTTTCAGCTGGCTAGTCCCACCCCTCATGTGCCTCTCTCCCTGCGAGTTACCACACTAGTTCTCTGTGTAGAATTAAACAGAGGACGAGTCTGGCAGGCCAGACTAGCTGAAGGGACCAATGGCACCTCACCTCTGCCAGTGTGCCCCCAGGGCAGCTGTGGCTGCATTGTAGCTCATCACCATCAGCGTGTGAATGTCATCGTCGTCTTCGTCTTCCTCCGCTTATTTGGGTCCGGGTTGCGGGGCCAGCATCCCAACTAGGGAGCTCCAGAACGTCCTCTCCCCGGCCACCTCCACCAACTCCTTCGGCAGGACCCCAAGGCGTTCCCGGACCAGATTGGAGATGTAACCTCTCCAACGTGTCCTGGGTCGACCCAGGAGCCTCCTGCTGGCAGGACATGCCCGAAACACCTCCTCAGGGAGGCGTCTACTAGGCATCCTGACCAGATGCCCAAACCACATCAACTGACTCCTTTCGATCCAGAGGAGCAGCGGTTTTACTCCGAGTCCTTCCCGAATGTCTGAGCTCCTCACCCTATCTGTAAGGCTGAGCCCGGCCACCCTACGGAGGAAACTCATTCCGGCCGCTTGTATCCGCGATCTGGTTCTTTCGGTCATTACCCAAAGCTCATGACCACTGGGACGTAAATCGACTGGTAAATCGAGAGCCTGGCTTTCTGGCTCAGCTCCCTCTTCACCATGACAGATCGGCTCAGCTTCCGCATTACTTCAGATGCTGAACCAATCCACCTGTCGATCTCCCGATCCCTCCTACCCTCAATCGTGAACAAGACCCCGAGATATTTAAACTCCTCCACTTGAGGTAGGACCTCTTTCCCGACCCGGAGTTGGCAAGCCACCCTTTTCCGGTCGAGAACCATGGTCTCAAATTTGGAGGTGCTGATCCTCATCCCAGCCGCTTCACACTCGGCCGCGAACCTACCCAGCAAGAGCTGAAGGTCAGAGCTGGATGAAGCTAGGAGGGCCACATCATCCGCAAAAAGCAGAGACGAGATTTTCCTGCCACCAAACTTGACACACTCCATACCACGGCTGCGCTTAGAAATTCTGTCCATAAAGGTAATTCAATTTTTCAATTCAATTTAAGTTTATTTATATAGCGCCAAATCACGACAAGAGTCGTCTCAAGGCACTTCACATAATAAACATTCCAATTCACAGTTCATTAAGCCAATCAGAAATAATGTTTCCTATATAAGTGTAAGGTTATGAAGTTCAACATTTTCAGCTCCACACAGCTGCCCCCTGTGCACAGTTACACCCGTGTATAAAAGCCAAGGTCGGGTGTTCCTCAGACTGTTTACATTCCAGGAGAAGAGTCCGAAGGAGAAGAAGAACGCTTTTACTTAATCAAAGTACTTTATTTGTGATTAAAAAAAATTAAGCAAAACATATGTTGATCAATAATAATCAAGTGAATGATCTGTGGAATAGAGATGTCATGATTTGTGTGTTTAATGAAAACAGGACTATTGCACAGACAGACTGATCCTCATCTCCATAGAAACGCATGACACATTGTTCCAACCAATCAGAGCTTTCGGCTGCCGCAGGAGAATCTGGCATGTTGACTTAAAGTGTCCAATCCCCTTTACTAAAACTTATCAACAATTCAGAGATATAAAACAAGGCAACGCCATTTTAAGCTCAGTTCCATTTTGACTTCAGTTCTATTCACCGTCATCCTAAAGAAAAGCACAGCCTGGTCAGATGTGTTTTCTTCTTTAAACTAAGAACTGTGAAGTTGGAGATTTTCGTCGTTTAACAACTAGACGACATCCTTTCAAAATAAGAGCACCTGCTGACGCCGCCGATTGGTACCGGGGTCGACCCTTCAGACGGGCTTTGAAACGCTGCGACCGCTGCTCCGACAGCTCCAGCGCACATCCGAGGTCTCCAGACCTGGCATTTCCTGATCTACCTGGGAGGCCCCCCACTGGGTACGTACACGGCAAAATAGCGGCTCATGTCATCACTTTATAAGCCTCGTGATATCTAGTCATAACAAAGACTACCAGATTCAATGACGTCAGCCTAAGGAGTCTGAACCAACCACACACACACACGCACCAACACAACATCCAAATCCATTTTCATCCATCACAGAGTTAGTCCTGGTAGATTGTTTAGAATTTATAATTAAGAAATTAAAGATTCTCAAACGATCCCAATTCTCTCTCTTTTCTTGTCTCAAAGTCAATACAGAGTGTTTAATTAAACTCCCTGATGATAAAAACAGCCTATTCTTCTGATTATAAAAAGTGATCTACTTACAGTGTATTAAAATACAACTCTAGATAGTTACATCACTTCAATTCCGTTACATAAGGAACCCAGCAAATTGCATCAAGTCACTGACTAGTGTCAGTGACTATACAGCAATCCTATACAGTAATGAACAGAGCCGGTGACAAAGGGCAGCCCTGGCGGAGTCCAACCCTCACCGGGAACAGGTTCGACTTACTACCGGCTATGCGGACCATACTCACGCTCCTCTGGTAAAGGGACTGAATGGCCCTTAAAAAAAGGCCACCCACCCCACACTCCTGGAGCGTCCCCCACAGGGTGCCCCTGGGGACACGGTCATATGCCTTCTTCAAATCCACAAAACACATGTGGATTGGTTGGGCAAACTCCCATGCCCCCTCCATCACCCTTGCAAGCGTATAGAGCTGGTCCACAGTTCCACGGCCAGGACGAAAACCTCATTGCTCCTCCTCAATCTGAGATTCAACTATCGATCGGACCCTCCTCTCCAGTACCATGGAGTAGACCTTTCCAGGGAGGCTGAGGAGTGTGATCCCCCTATAATTGGAACACACCCTCAGGTCACCCTTCTTAAAGATGGGGACCACCACCCCGGTCTGCCACTCCACAGGAACTGCCCCCGATGACCACGCAATGTTGCAGAGACGTGTCAACCACGACAGCCCTACAAGATCCATAGCCTTGAGATACCCAGGACCCCCGGGGCTCCGCCGCTGTGTAGTTGTTTGACTACCTCAGCAACTTCTGCCCCCGAGATTGGACAGTCCACCCCCAGGTCTCCCGGCTCTGGTTCCTCCTCGGAATGCGCATAGGTGGGATTGAGGAGCTCCTCAAAGTATTCCTTCCACCGTCCGACTATAGCCTCAGTTGACGTCAGCAGCTCGCCATCCCCACTATAAACAGTGTGAGAGAGTTGCTGCCTTCCTCTCCTGAGGCGCCGGACAGTTTGCCAGAACCGCTTTGGAGCCGATCGATAGTCTTTCTCCATGGCCTCACCAAACTCCTCCCACGCCCGAGATTTTGCCTCAGCAACTGCCACTGCTGCACCCCGCTTGGCTATCCTGTACCCGTCTGCTGCCTCCAGAGACCAACAGACCAGCCATGCCCTGTAGGCCTCCTTCTTCAGCCTGATGGCTCCCCGAACCTCTGGTGTCCACCAGCGGGTACGGGGGTTGCCACCACGACTGGCACCGGCCACCTTGCGACCACAGCTAGAAACAGCTGCCTCAACAATTGCAGAGTGGAACAAGGCCCACTCTGAGTCAATGTCCCCCACTGCTCTCAGGACGCGGTCAAAGCTCTGCCGGAGGTGGGAGTTGAAGACCGTCTTGACAGGTTCTTCTGCCAGGCGTTCCCAGCAGACCCTCACTATGCGTTTGGGTCTGCCAGGTCTACGCGGCATCTTCCCCTGCCATCTGAGTCTTGGGGCTAGCAAAAAGCCAACCCCAGCCCTCCACTTCTCACCCAGAGCATCTCCAGCAAAGGAGAGTGTCCAACCCCTCTCAAGGACTTGGGTTCCAGAGCCAATGCTATGTGTTGAGGTGAGTCCGACTATATCTAGCCGGTACCGCTCAACCTCTGCCTCAAGCTCCTGCTCCTTCCCCGCCAGCGAGGTGACGTTCCATGTCCCAAAAACCAGTTTCTTTGTCTGGGGATCGGACCGCCAAGGCTTCCGCCTCGGTCTGCCACCCGATCCACATTGCACCGGACCCTTCATGTTCCTCCTGCAGGTGGTGGGTGCACAGTTGGATGAGCCCATGTATCCGGTTTGGGCTGGGCCCGGCCGTGCCCCATGGGTGAAAGCCCAGCCACCAGGTGCTCGCCCCAACCCCAGGCCTGGCTCCAGGGTGGGACCCCGGTAACCCTCCGGGCCGGGTACTCCGACTCTTCGATTGTACATCTTTGTCTCACCCTTCACCTAAGACCAATTTGTCATGGGAGACCCTACCAGGGGCACTTGTGCCCCAGACAACCTAGCTCCTAGGATCATCAGGGCACTCAAACTCCTCCACCACGATAAGGTGACGGTTGAAGGAGGAGTGTGAATGGATAAATGATACTCAATGTTGCATACGGGTCGATTTTTTTCCAGCATTCATAAAACTCAGCTGGTGTATTTTTTTAATTAACATCCATTTTGAATTAATAACAATGAACTTACTGTACTTTCCTGTCTAACTTCCCCAGCTGGACGAGGTCCCTGCTGTCTTCATGATTCTGTGTGTTTCTATCGCAGCAGAAACAGTTTGTGCACAAATCCAGATTCCTGATGATTTTCACCCTCCGACAGAACTTGACCTTAACCATCATGTTTGGGTCAAAGCAGAACACAAAGACTTGGTCTTGTAATCTAATACTACTGGATACACATGTTTTAGTGATTTCAGAAACATGCTGGTTTAACGTATTTGTGCTTTTGTACTTTAAGTAATAATCAAAAATCAAACATGTTAGAAATAAACAAAACGGGAAGCCATGTATACCCTCTCCAGCTTCATCTGAGATCAAGACAAAGCCGTGGCTTATGTTTACTCATCACATTCCTGGGAGGAGAAAGCTTCATTGACACACTCCAACCCATCACATGAAAGAGCCTCACCACCACACAGCTGGTCATGGAGAAGGGAGGGGTCACAGTGCACCATGGGTCTGGGAAGAAAAACACACCACTGTTTCTAAAAGTACGTGGAGTTATATGGCAGTCACATTGTCTGTGTCAGACCCTAACACGTTTTATTATCGTGTGATGTTTGGAAGGCTAAATCACGATAAACACGTGTAGGCTGAGGTTGTAGAGAATGTTAGAGCTGATGTTTGTTACATATATGTGCACATTTTGACTTTAGTAGCAAATTATGCATTTTTTCTCTAACTGGTTTTATAAAAACTAAATTGTTTTAGGAAATAATGGCTTTCCTTTGAATGTAACATACAGAAACAGACAGTTTTGTAACTATTTGTTACAATTTGGGAGTGGACCCAGAAGCAGACTCAAAGTTGTTGGAAAGTTAAAAGGTGTTTGTTTATTTATTTAGTGGTTGGTTAGGGTCAGAAGGGCAGAAGCTGCCTGGGATGGGTTTAGTGCAGCTGCAGGATCAGGATAGGAGAACAGAGAAATGTTGTTTTAAACAAGACCTAGATACTGTTAAGGCTTGGATTATAAACCAGAACCATCTAATGATGAGATTTCAGATCTGAAAATCTAAAGATGGAGAAATGGAGAAGGTGGGTGATGAGCTGAAGCTGCAGCCGATCTAAGCACACTGGGAGGAGGAGAAGGTCCCTAGAGAGCGGCAATACCAATTTTCAATTTCAATTTATTTATTTTGGTCATTTAAAAGAAAAAAAATAATACAATAAAACAGAATCTAAATTATAGTAACCAAAAAGGTGTAGGGTGAAGCCTAGATTTTTATGCCTACCCTATTTACTCACTCACATTACTTATCACGAAAAAATAACAAAGAAAGATCAAAGTAATATAGTCATAAAAATGAATATAAGATAAAAGTAATAAAAATGCTAATCATCATTGAAATATAGTGAACAACAACAAACATAATTCAGCAAGAGGAAAAGTACACAAAACTAAAGACAGAACTACCATCGATACTTGTTTCGATTTCTTCTATTTCAGTCAACTTTCAACTGTTAGGTAGCTCTTATTTTTTGCATGATTTCCTGAAGTTATTCATGTTATTTTTATCCTTATCAAACATTTTAGCAACTCATGCTCCCTATAAATGTGTCTTTTCTTGTTATCTGCTTATTCGTGCACATTACTTTGTCCATAAAAGACACTGGACCATCAGAACTTTCAGATTAGTTTAGAAGTTTGTAACTTTGAGCAGCTTCTAGAACTTTTCAGGATTACTTAAACACATTTTTTTCAGCTGAACTAAAAGAGTTGATTATACTTTGTTCTCTCTCTCTCTCTCTCTCTCTCTCCCTCTCTCTCCCCTCTCTCTCTCTTTCTCTCTCTCTCTCTCTCTCTCTCTCTCTCTCTCTCTCTTCTCTCTCTCTCTCTCTCTCTCTCTCTCTCTCTCTCTCTGTCTCTCTCTCTCTCTCCCTTTCATGTATCTTAACTCCAGATTGTGTTTTCTTTTAGAAAACCTCCTCTTCTCATAACAGCAAACGCTGAGTCAGCAGATGATCGGCCAAGGTGCACAACACAACATTCAGTCAGTGTAACTGACAAAGCAGAGGTCTAATGACCAGCTCCCACTTTGCTACCTCGCTCAGCTGAACACTGTCACCTCCCCCCTTCCTTCCCTACTTGTAAAACTTCTTATCTGAGTTTCTGCAGAGCGGACCTGCAGCCTGTGGACATCTCTGGAACACAAAGCTTCAACAAGATGAGGAAAGAGAGTCGGTTAAGTCACTGGATCTGTTGGATTGTGGCTGTTACAGCATTGTTTTTTTTGGGATTCATCATTGGTAAGGCACCACATGGGGAATTATTCTTAAATTATGATGATAAGAATGGGAAACTAGTTGATCGTGGCAAGTCACAGAACAGGAAACGCTTTTAAAATATAAATCCAAGGGGAGATGTGTGTTTCTATTTGCTCAGGATGACTCGTTCAGCCTGTTTAACCTCAACGTGAGTTAGAGTTTGTCACTACTTTAACACATGTCACATCTTTGTGCTCACAGCAGCTTAACACACACACTCATTAACCACAGCTACCCTTAATAAGATGTTAACTTCATGCTCAGATGTTAAAACTCAGTCTGGATTGTGTATGATCCTACTTTTGTTGTAAAAACCTATCTTGAAGATACTCCGTTTGACTCACAGTGACGTTAGTCATGCAAAAAAGAGCTGATAACAATGGAAACAAAGTTTATTTCTTGTTCTATGTGTGTGTTGTAGGTTGGTTTGCAAAGCCCTCGCACACAAAGACCGAAACCCATGAAGATTTCAGCAAGAATCTGAAGGAGTTTTTGGATGAAATGCAGACAAACCAGATCAGGGAGCATCTCAGGTAAAAAGGAGCTGTCCATCAGACCTCTAAGAGTATTTCTGGTATGCAGAACACTGACCACTTAAAGATGGCTGAATAGTTGTGAAGATAAAAATCTTAATTATCAAACGGATGGTTTGAGCTGCAATACATTCTTAAATCCAATGTCAAAAAACAGCTAACTGAAAGATCACAAGTGTCACAGTAAATTGTTGTCCAAACAGGAAGTTTACCCGTCTCCCCCATCTGGCTGGCACAGAGCAGAACCTCAAATATGCAGAGCAGATCAAGAAAGAGTGGCTGGAGTTTGGATTGGACTCAGTGTCTCTGGTGCCTTACGATGTCCTGCTGTCCTATCCCAACAAGTCACAGCCCAACTACATCTCTATATGTGATGACCTGGGCAATGAGGTACACTTGTCTGCAGGGATCACAAGTAGGGATGCAAAAATGTGTACATAAATGAACAAGCAAGTTACGTTCAGTCTAAAAGTGTCTTTAAAGCTTATAAAGAAACCATCTGCTAACATTGACTGACTTGTTTAAGGGTGCAACTTGCAAACTTTTAGATTTCAGTTTCACAACAGTATGGTGTCGTCACTCACTTGATCAATGATGTTAAACCAGTCCTGACTACCTGTTTGTAGAGCTGACAGTTACAGGCTGCTTATGGAGATGACAGAAACACCCACAACTCACTCAGGTCCAGAGTCCTTTTACAGCCTCATTATTGGGTGTAAGTGTGTCTTATGACAGCAGATAGTAAAACAGGACAGAAGCAGCAAAAAACTTAGTTACGTTAGTTTGGATTACCTGAAAAGCAGCCAGCAGGACAGGATCAGCTGGTATCTATTTATGTTTAACATGTTATAGGATAACATTAAATTGGTCTCTGACACATTGGGTCTGTTTCACTGCTTATGTTTATGTGACACACATCAGATACTATTTTGTATAAGAATTTAGTTTTTTGTTTCTTCTTCTTAAAAGGAAAAGCCTTTTAGCCATCCTCACAGAAAAGACGCACGCAAATGAAATTAGATGTAGCACACGAATGCGGAATAAAAGACTAAAAATAAATCTAAGACGAGCCACCAAGGAACTCATGCAACTCTGATGATCCAGCAGCTGAAGGGAATAACTTTTCTATTAATAGTCTGCATGAGGAATGACTAATTGGAGACAAGTGGCACAAACAACTTGCAGGGTGGGAAAAACTCAAAAGACGGAGAGTCAAAACCAAACGACAGACGAGGAATGCAAAACATTCTAAACACTAAACTAGGGCTGCTGCAACTAATTCTAATGAAATAATTTGTTCATAATATTCTGGAATAACCCATTTATCAACTAAACAAACCAAAATTGATATTTTTTCCATAATTGGGCTTTAAAACAGAGATAGTAGACTTTTAGAAATGTTTTCGTGTGTTAGCATTGACCCACATTATTTAGAAGGCTGTGATCTGCTTGACTAGCCACACCCTGGTTTAAGTACCACCAGACCAATATAAGAGGTTTTCCAGTTAGTTTGCGCATCCTCTACAGTATTTTAATCATGCTGAGAGTGCTGAGATGATGGAGTGTTGAAGCATTCAGGAGTCTGAGCCTTTTAATGCTGCCGGGATGTCCAGGTGACGTCCAAAGTGTCCATTTGGAGATTCCAAACAGAGACCTTCACAGATTCCTGCACAATCAAACACAGTAACATGTCCACAACAGTCATGTACGTATCATCGTTATGAAATTAGGACTGGTAAGGCTTGATTCTGCAGCCTTGATGTGTTTTCCAATCCATACCTTCATCTCTCTAACGAAGCAGCACAAAGAAAGTCTAGACTAGGAAAAAATGGTTGACTTTTAAGTGTTCACTAATGCTGGTTACAGTTCCAGTAAATCTGATTTGTGAGGTTAAAAACGTCACCTTTCCTGTTTTATCCTTCAGGTTTTTAACACTTCATTGGCTGAGCCAATTCCCCAGGGTTATGAAGACGTGTCCAACATTGTGCCTCCGTACAGCGCCTTCTCTGCTAAAGGGCAGCCACAGGTACACCCAGCTGAACGTAAACAATCATCATTAAACCAAATGTTGGAGTCATCTAAGGCATTCCTCTTCATGTGTTTGTGTTCAGGGGGATCTGGTGTATGTGAACTACGGTCGAACAGAGGACTTTTTCCAGCTGGAGAGGGAGATGGGCATCAATGTGACGGGAAAGATTGTCATTGTCAGATATGGGAAAATATTCAGAGGCAACAAGGTAAGAGAGGATCTAATCTGAGCTCATTTTTTAAAGATGAAGATGACCCAAGGCTTTATTAACCCCCCCCACACACACACACACACACACACACACCACCACCACCACCCCACCCAACCCCCACCCCCAGGTGAAGAACGCCATGTTAGCAGGAGCTAAAGGGATCATTATGTTCTCAGACCCAGCAGATTACTGGGCGGCAGATGTCGAGGTGAGAACTTATGAAGCTTTAAAACAATAAAATAAACAGAGAGAATCCACAAAACCACCAACTAAATGTGTTTATGTGCAGCCGTACCCTGATGGCTGGAACCTGCCTGGTGGAGGAGCTCAGAGAGGAAATGTTCTCAACCTGAACGGAGCAGGAGACCCCCTCACACCTGGCTACCCTGCTAAAGGTGTGTCGGCTTGTTTTCTCTGACCGTATAAGCATATTTACGATATATGATACAGATGCATATTATCTCTTTCAGAATACACGTACAGATTCAGCCTGGATGAAGGCGTGGGACTTCCCAAAATCCCTGTGCATCCGATCGGTTTTCACGATGCTATTCACCTGCTGAAGTACGACCCCTTCACTTCCTGATGTGGTCTAGTTTTGTGCAGCAGCATCCTAAATCTTTTTTGCATTTAAGTATAATTGTTTTGATCTTTAAATGGAAGGGGCAAACGTTTTATTTGCTGTGTGTGTGACTGTAAACAGGAACATGGGAGGGAGGATTCCACCTAATAACTGGAAAGGAGCTCTGAATGTCTCCTACAGGATCGGCCCGGGATTTACAGATGACTTCAAGAGCCAGTAAGATCTCATCTGAAGTTAAAGCGGCCTTTTGCGTCCTCCTTCTAGATTTAAAGCTCTTTCCTCTCCTGGTACCGTTCCCTCTTAGCTCCTGTCCTTCCTTTGGGTTCTGTGCCCCTTTTCTGCCTTCTTTGTTCCGTCAAATCCAAAAGTGTGTCTCTGAAATGGCAAAGGGCCAGCTGAAGCACAATGAGGGCTCTTGTGTCTCCTGTTCGTGACACACATTGATGTTCACACATAAACCCTGGAACTCAACAAGCACAACAAGGATCTCTTTTACTATTTACAGACATGGATTTGTGTGGATGTTCTCTTACCTGCATGGATTTTTGTTCCTTCTTTTTGATTTCTTAGAGCCTGATAAGCTTTGTCCAGTTTTTCTATTAATTCCATCATGTCTATGACCTAATTGTTGCTGTCTGCTGCAGGAAAGTGCGTATGAACATCCACACTAATAACCAGGTCACAAGGATCTACAACGTCATTGGGAAGATCAGAGGAGCGCTGGAGCCAGGTTCTTATTATGCACTCCCAACTAACACCTGTACTGTTTATTAGTGTGTTATTAGAATAAATTTGATGCTTGTGAATGCTGCAAACATCGACTAACCATCACTAGCCAACAGATATTTTGTATTAAGGTAAAACTTGATAAGTTTATTGCTTCTGCTCCTACTGGTTGAAAGCAGAATTACAACTGATGTAAAGAACCCTGCCACAGCCTCCAACGAAAATACGACACTCTTGTTGCTCTAGTTTTTTATTGATATTTGGCAAATTGAAATAACTAACACATAGCTTTCACATTTGCTACCAGCACAGTAAAGCCATTAAGTTGGCTGATAACTCCCACTAGAGCCCACCCAAACGAACAGAGAAGTTCAGTGCAGTTTCTGGCCAGTAGAGAGCTGCAGATTGCTGTCCCAAGAGAAGCTTCTCAACTTTGTGGTTCAAGAACCACTGAAACCAGTTTTAACGCAGTAGCTTCTTTAGGTATTTTAATACTCTAATGCTGCTGTTGTGGGCTTTTTGCAGACAGATATGTGATTCTGGGCGGGCACCGGGATGCCTGGGTCTTTGGAGGGATTGATCCCATGTCTGGAGCAGCAGTGCTCCATGAAACTGCACGGAGCGCTGGCAGTCTGCTTAAAAAAGGTAAGAGCTTCGTAATGAATGAAAAGGAGGAAGCTATTTCAGAATTCATGTAATCTGCTTGTGTGTGTGTGTGTGTGTGTGTGTGTGTGTGTGTGTGTGTGTGTGTGTGTGTGTGTGTGTGTGTGTGTGTGTGTGTGTGTGTGTGTGTGTGTGTGTGTGTGTGTGTGTGTGTGTGTGTGTGTGTGTGTGTGTGTGTGTGTGTGTGTGTGTGTGTGTGTGTGTGTGTGTAGGCTGGAGGCCAAGGAGGACTATAATATTTGCTTCCTGGGATGCAGAGGAGTTTGGTCTGCTGGGATCCACAGAATGGGCTGAGGTATCACACATACACAAGCATACAGATATCTTCTTACAGGAACACACCCACAATGATTACAGTCCATGCTTCTCATCAGGACAATGCCAGGCTGCTGCAGGAGAGAGCTGTGGCTTATATCAATGCAGACTCAGCCATAGAGGGTGGGTGAAAATGTCCTTTCAACAAATATTAATGGAAAAATAAGGAGATGTTATTAATTCTGTCTGCTTTGGGTTTGATTTAATGCATGTGTGAGAGTGTAAATACATGTATAAATGTGTGATTTTGTTTTAATTACAGGTATGTACACACTGCGGGTTGACTGCACTCCATCTCTGCACACATTAGCGTATGACATCACCAAGCAAGTAAGCTTATTAGCCCACACAACTCATCTGAAGCTAATAATACATATAAATTTAAAACTTTCCTCTCTGTTTAACATCATGTGCTCCTAGATTTGTTTCTAGTTTGTCTCCATTTTTCTTGTTTCGTGTTTTTGTGCAGATAGCCAGTCCAGAGGAAGGAGAGGAAGGGCTTTCTCTGTATGAGAGTTGGCATAAAAGAGACAACTGGACCGAAGATCGAGATGCACCCAGGTAGTAATCCCCATGGTTATGATAAATATTTATATAAATGGCTTGTTGCTGGATAAGTTTTAGGTACTTACAGGTAAAGCAATCCAGCGATACAGTAACTTTATGTTGGACTGAAGAATAAAACATCTTCACATTTTCTCCATCTATCCACACATCCATCCATCCATCCGTTTATTTTGTTCAGCTTATCCGGGGTCAAGTTGCGGGGGCAGCAACAATGGCACCCCCAAGGAGTGGTCATGGCCACGCCTAGAAAATCTGTGAAATGTTTGTGTTTGTAAAATTTAAGTTAAATGTTTTGGATATGTACTGTTTATATATACAGGTGCTGGCCAGTAAATTAGAATATCATCAAAAGGTTGAAAATATTTCAGTAATTCCATTCAAAACGTGAAACTTGTACATTATATTCATGCAATGCACACAGACCAATGTATTTCCAATGTTCATTACATTTAAATTTGATATTCATAAGTGACAACTAATGAAAACTCCAAATTTGGTATCTCAAAAAATTAGAATATTCTGAAAAGGCTGAATATAGAAGACACCTGCTGCCACTCTAATCAGCTGATTTACTCAAAACACCTGCAAAGGCCTTTAAAAGGTCCCTCAGTCTTGTTTTGAAGGCACCACAATCATGGGGAAGACTTCTGACTTAACAGCTGTCCAAAAGACAATCATTGACACCTTGCACAAGGAGGGCAAGACACAAAAGGTGATTGCTAAAGAAGCTGGCTGTTCGCAGAGCTCTGTGTCCAAGCACATTAACAGACAGGCGAAGGGACGGAAAAAATGTGGTAGAAAAAAGTGTACAAGCTCTAGGGATAACCGCACCCTGCAGAGAATTGTGACGACAAACCCATTCAAAAATGTGGGGGAGATCCACAAAGAGTGGACTGCAGCTGGAGTCAGCGCTTCAAGAACCACCACGAGGAGACTCATGAAAGACATGGGATTCAGGTGTCGCATTCCGTGTGTCAAGCCACTCTTGAACAAGAAACAGCGCAAGAAGCGTCTCGCCTGGGCCAAGGACAAAAAGGACTGGACTGATGCTGAGTGGTCCAAAGTTATGTTTTCTGATGAAAGCAAGTTCTGCATTTCCTTTGGAAATCAAGGACCCAGAGTCTGGAGGAAGAGCGGAGAAGCACAGAATCCACGTTGCATGAGGTCCAGTGTAAAGTTTCCACCGTCAGTGATGGTGTGGGGTGCCATGTCATCTGCCGGTGTTGGCCCACTCTGTTTCCTGAGGTCCAGGGTCAATGCAGCCGTCTACCAGGAAGTTTTAGAGCACTTCATGCTTCCTGCTGCTGACCAACTTTATGGGGATGCAGACTTCACCTTTCAACAGGACTTGGCACCTGCACACAGTGCCAAAACCACCAGCACCTGGTTCAAGGACCATGGTATCCCTGTCCTTGATTGGCCAGCAAACTCGCCTGACCTTAACCCCATAGAAAATCTATGGGGTATTGTGAAGCGGAGGATGCAATACGCTAGACCCAACAATGCAGAGGAGCTGAAGACGACTATCAGAGCAACCTGGGCTCTCATAACACCTGAGCAGTGCCACAGACTGATCGAGTCCATGCCACGCCGCATTACTGCAGTTATTGAGGCAAAAGGAGCCCCGACTAAGTATTGAGTGCTATACATGCACATTCTTTTCATGTTCATTCTTTTCAGTTGGCCAACATTAGAGAAACAAACATTTTTTCATTGGCCTTTAGAATATTCTAATTTTCTGAGATACCAGATTTGATGTTTTCATTGGTTGTCACCTATAAATATCAAAATTAAACGTAATAAACATCAGAAATACATTGGTCTGTGTGCATTACATGAATATAATGTACAAGTTTCACGTTTTGAATGGAATTACTGAAATATTCTCAACCTTTTGATGATATTCTAATTTACTGGCCAGCACCTGTATATATATATATATATATATATATATATATATATATATATATATATATATATATATATATATATATATACATATATATATATATATATATATATATATATATATATATATATATATATATATATATATATATAAACAAATAAAGGAACAATGCAATACATCACCACAGGCTAAACTCTCCCAGAGTTACCACAAGGACCAATTTGGTGTGCCACCCAAAAATTTTCTTTGGCCCCATCTGGCCACCCCTATCAACATTTTCTGGAGGTGCCTCTGGGCAGCAGCCTAAGCAGAGAGGCTGAGACTTCCCCCTCCACTTGGGCCAGCTGGTCCGGCGGAATTTCAAGGTGTTCCCTGGCCAGCTGAGAGACATAGTTACTCCAGCGTGTCCTGGGTCTTCTGTTAGGTCTCCTTCCAGTCGGACGTGTTTGGTAAACCTCACTAGGGAGGCATCCAGGAGGTATCCTAACTAGATGACCGAACCACCTCAGCTGGCTCCTCTCAATGTGGAGAAGCAGCGACTCTACTCCAAGTCCCTCCCAGATGACCGAGCTTCTATCCCTACCTCTAAGGGAGAGCCCAGACAACCAGCAAACCAAAATAATTTGGGCCGCTTGTATCCATGATCTCAAAGCTCATGACTGTAGGTGAGGGAACATAGATCAACTGGTAAATCAAGAGTTTTGCCTTCTGGCTCCGCTCTCTCTTCACCACGACAGACCGGTACAACCATGGACGTAATTTTGGGGGGGACGGGAGGACATCCCCCCCCCCTTTTTTTTCCAAAGTCAAGTTTTGACCCCTGCACTTTTTACAATCCAAAAACAATATTACGCTATATTAAATTGACACTGGTTGAGCTCTAGGACCAAGCGGAAAACAACTGTTTGTGTTGAAGCCTGTTTCCCATTAGAGCATACTGTAATGATACAGTGCCCCCCAAGACTTTATACGTGAACGGGAGAAGGCATTCTATTTATTTTTTTTTTTTTTTACATTTTCTCAAACCAGTAAACACAACATATACTGATATCCCACAAGTTTCACTGCCATAGATATTTGTTGTTTTGGTTCTTTGTCAGAAGTCACTTTAGAAGTCACCGAGTCTGTGCATCCTCCACTTTGGTTTGATACAGGATCAGTAAACTTGGGTCCGGCAGTGATTTTGAGGCCTATTTCATCAGATTGGGAATTGCTGCAGGCAGAGCCAGATACACCAAGAACAGGGTGAGAAATGTTTCTTTTAAGGTGATAGATATCTTCTTCTTTCACTGATCTGTAGGTCTTGTGTTACTTGTATTTACAACTTTAAAGTGTCATCTGTTTGTGTTACACTGAGTGAACTCATGGGCCTAAGATTATAAATGAGCGTGAGTTTACTGTGATAGGCTCAGTAGAATATCTTCTGTGTGTGTGTGTGTGTGTGTGTGTGTTCCTGTACCTTCAGAAAACAGAGCGGTACAGTAGCTACCCAGTCTACCACAGTGTGTATGAAACCTTCGAGATAGTGGAGAGGTTTTACGACCCCTCCTTCAGGAGGCTGCGGGCGGTGGCTCAAGTCAGAGGAGGACTCATCTTCATGCTGGCGGACTCCAAGCTGCTTCCTCTTGATGTTAACGAGTACGCAGACTCGCTGGGGAAATACGCACAGAGCATCGCGGAGGTGGCACAGAAGCACCCGGAACAAATGGAGCTATACAAAGTATCATTTGGTGAGCTGAGAGTCACTATGGGTGATGAAAGCATGTATCACAGTGTGAATTTGTGCTGCAGGAGTGTATTGCATTGGTTCACATAAGATGCTTTGTAATCTTCTTTGTCTAGATTCCCTGTTTTCTGCAGTGCAGAACTTCTCTGCTGCAGCCAGAGATTTCTACGCGCGTCTGCAAACTCTCCACACAGAAGAGTAAGAAAGTGTTGGCCTGTTTCTTCCAATGAGTTCTGAGTTTAATCATTTTAATAATGTTCTCTAAGACAAGTGCAAGTGTGACAACACTTACTGACTGTGTTTCTATGTGTGTGTTCTAGTCCTCTACAGCTGCGGGTTGTGAATGATCAGCTCATGTACCTGGAGAGAGCTTTTATTGACCCTCTTGGTTTACCAGGCAGACCATTTTACAGGTGAGTCAGCTCTTAACACAACACTTCACTACTCCGACCATAGTTGTGGTCCAAATGAATAGTCCATAAAAATGGATGCCAGCATCCTTTGAGTTTATTGTGTCCTATTTTTACACTCACACATCGTTTTAACAACAAAAATTTAAATGAGCTGAATTATCAGAACATGCCCAAAACAGATACTATTATGAACTATTCAACATATTTAAAGCTGGTGTTTTAAATATATTTTAGAGTAGTTGGAGCAAAAATAATTACCACTTTAGAAATGTTAATAGTTTTACAAGTTGCTGCTTAGGGCAAAGCAAGGCAGCTTTATTTATACGGCACATTTCATACACAGAAGCAATTTAACTGCTTTACAGGTGCAAGAACAGCAAGAACACAAAACAAATAAAATCAATGTGACAACATAAAACAACGGATTTCAATATCTAAGTTAAATTACATTTGATGTAAATGGCAAATGGCCTGTATTTGATATAGCACCTTCTAGAGTCCTGAATCCCCCAAGGCACTTTACAACACAATCACCCGTTCACACACACATTCACACCCTGATGGTGATGAGATACTTTATAGCCACAGCTGCCCTGGGGCACACTGACAGAGGCAAGTCTGCTGTACACAGGCACCACCGGTCCCTCTGACCACCTCCAGCAGGCAAGGGGGGTTGAGTGTCTTACCCAAGGACACAATAACAGTGACAGACTGAGCGGGGCTCTAACTTGCGACCTTCTGATTAAGGGGCAAGCACTTAACTCCTTTGCCACTGTCACATGTAAGGATAAGATAAAAAGGCAAAGTTTAAGGGTGAGCAGTTACAGTGCAGAAGGTGCAGCATAGGAAACATTGATTATAATGAATAAATTAGTTTTCAATTTTGATTTAAAAGTTTCTAGAGTTGGGGCAGTTTTGAGGTTATAAGGAAGCTGATTCCATCTGTGTGCAACATAGTAGCTAAACGCAGCTTCACCCTGTTTGGTTCTGACCCGGGGTTCTGCCAGCTGAGCATCTGAGAGCCCTGCTGAGCGTGTATACTGGAAGGAGATCCAAAATGTATTTTGGCCCTATGCCATAGAGTTGTTTATAAACTAGTAGGAGCACTTTGAAGTTTACTGGTAACCAGTGTAGAGACTCAAGAACAGGGGTGATGAAGATAAGAGCCGGTAAGTTTATAAATGCTACAAATCACTAATTTTTTTTTAAAATAATCTCAACTTTAAAAAGGCCGACAGTGAAATATCACTTTTCCACAAAAATATTCATATTTTAATGACAAGTTTATGACGTTTATCTGCACTAAGTGAATTTATTTATGAGTTCTTCATGGGTATTTTTCTTGTATTTTATTATACAGGATTTCACTCAGAAACACCTTAGAAGACTAATTTTATCATGGTATTTTGATCATGTGATAATTAGATATCTCTAGTACCTTTGCTAGCATTGCCTTTCCATCTCCATCATACATCAGTGTTCTGATTGCTCCATACGTTCCTAACCGAGCACTTTGCTCTCAGACTGCAGGTTTACTGGTGGTTCCCAGAATATCTAAAATTAGGATGGGAGGCAGATCTTTTAGTTATCAGGCTCCTCTCCTGTGGAACCAGCTCCCAGCCTTAGTCCATGAGGCAGACACCTTGTCTACTTTTAAGAATAGGCTTAAAACATTTTTATTTGATAGGGCCTATGGTTAAAATCTGATGTTAGCCTAGATCTGGACAAGTGGGGGAATAGAGGGAGGTGGAGTGTACAGTCGGTAAAGACGACTCTCCCTTGCCCTGTCTCCAACATGCCTCCATCAAAATAGGATAGATTATCCAGAGTTATCTCTGTAGTTATGCTGCTATAGGCTTAGACTACTGGAGGACACACTGACCACTTTTCACACTCTACTACTTTCTTCTACAATCTGCTCTTTAACTTTATTATTTTCTGCAATTTCAGCTGTTAACTTTATTTTCTCTCTAAGTGTTTTTCTCCCCAGAAGAAGCTACAACGATGTTCTGCTGAGTTGTGGTGACCTCATGGAGGGGGGCATCGTCTAGCACACTGCTGCTAACCACTAAAACATTCTCCCTCTCCTGATAATAACTTTTTGCTTTCCTTGACGTTGGATGTTCTACTACTAGTTTACCCATTTAATTATAGATCCACTAGGATAAATACAATAAAGTTTATCTCTCACCAAATTGAATATTTACTAAGACATCACAATATAACTATAGACACATTACTGTGTGTGTGTGTGTGTGTGTGTGTGTGTGTGTGTGTGTGTGTGTGTGTGTGTGTGTGTGTGTGTGTGTGTGTGTGTGTGTCTGTGTGTGTGTGTGTGTGTGTGTGTGTGTGTGTGTCTGTGTGTGTGTGTGTGTGTGTGTGTGTGTGTGTGTGTGTGTGTGTGTGTGTGTGTGTGTGTGTGTGTGTGTGTGTCTGTGTCTGTGTCTGTGTGTCTGTGTCTGTGTCTGTGTCTGTGTGTGTGTGCCTGCTCTGTCTTCTCGGTCCCCAGTGAGTCGTGTTGGATGGCTGCTTATACTGAGCCAGGATTCTTTGGAGGTTTCTTCCTGTTAAAAGGGAGTTTTCCTCTCCACTGCCGCTTTATATTTGCTTAGTATGAGAATTGCTGTAAAGTCTTGATGCAGTTTGCTGGGTTCCTTATATAGGAAACATTATTTCTGATTGGCTTAATGAACTGACCTGAATTGGAAAGTTTATTACGTGAAGTGCCTTGAGACGACTCTTGTCGTGATTTGGCGCTATATAAATTAACTTGAATTGAATTGAATTGAATCTCTCCTCTTTTGCAGGCATGTGATTTTTGCTCCCAGCAGTCATAACAAATATGCAGGGGAGTCTTTTCCTGGGATCTACGATGCATTGTTTGACATTGAGAACTCGGCTGACCCAGAGAAAGCCTGGCAGGAAGTCAAGAGACAAATCAGCATAGCAGCTTTCATGGTGCACGCTGCAGCCATGACCCTGACTCCACCTGCATGAGGCTGAAGCAGTGAGATCTGATGATACTGGAGTCTAATGAGACTTCATTACTTGAACTTCAACACAAATATGCTGAGAAATCAGAATCTTTGGATTATCTTCTCCAGACTTCAGAAAAGAAAAATATGTTGTGGCTAAAGTAAAGAATTTAGTTATTTGTTTTTTTTTAATAAATCTTCTGGAAATGAGGAATTTCAATTAAAAAAATGAAATGACCTCATTCACATTGCCTGGACTCATACTAGATGTGTGACATAATGGCCAGAAAAAGACAAAAATGTGAGGAGTGGCACTGATTTTAATTCAGGGTTACAAAGATATTTTAACAAAAATATTTTTTCCATGCTCTGTACTCAGTAATGAAAATAAAACCACATGGAATGTTTAAAACGCTTTTATTTAATTTTAGTAAGGAAGCCTTTTGTTTATAAACGCTAAGATTTCTAAGAAATGGCACATGGGAAATGTCATCATAAAGCCAAACTATTTTTACTATTCTCTTTACATTAATTGTTTACTGTTGGAATGTAAATGGACCGGTAAATTGAGAGCTTCGCATTTCATAACTTTTTTTTTTACTTAAGTTAGAGTTTATAAAAGTAGCAGTTTTATTTGGATAAACAGATCAAATCCAAATGTTCCAGATTGCAAAATAAAGTTTTTAATTAAACAGGAGCATCAGCCTAAATAAAATAGAAAACTAAAATAAGCTTTTATTATGGATTTTAACTGTCTGTTGTGTCTGGAAGCTCACTGACAAAACAGCATCCAGCAAATTTCAATGAAAACGCTCTTATTTGTATTTGCTTTTCTAATAAATACCAAAAAGTTTTAACTTCTATTAGAATATTGTTACAAATTCACATTAAAACATTTCTGGTCTCAAATCAGCCAGATGGGGTTTAGAGATTAGTAATTTCATTGTGAACCTGTCACATCCAGTCCCAGACTGCTGCCCTCTGGTTGGGGATCTGCAGGTGTTACCGGCCAGTTTTATGTCTTTGATGCATGATTACATAATAAATAAAGAATTGTGAATAATTTGTAAATAAATAATATAACTAAATGACTATCATAAAAATATAGCTAAATTACACATTTGTTATTTTAATATCAGCTAATAAATACTGTTTTTAAAATGAGTTTATTATCATTTATATTTCAGGGTTTAGATGGTAAATAAATGGACAATGTGAACATTTATCTTTCATGTGTTCGATGCCAAACTGGTAATGGTACACACTGGAACTGAACATGATGATTACAGCAGAAAACCAGCAGGTTTAAAACGGTATAGGGTAAAGGTCAGGGTAGCTGCACAGAGGAATCAGGATGCAGATGAGGATGAGACAGGCAAGGATCAGACTCAGGTACCCATGGGGAGCTAAAATTCAACGGGGGTATGTGCAGGGTCAATAACTGTGAGGGAATCAGGAAACCACAGGAACTCAGTCTATCTGCTGATTCTATTATGGAGTGGAGCTGCTTACAGGCAAACACAAGCATCATTAATCTGCTGATTACAGGAGCTCAGCTGTGTCTGCTCAGTGAAGATGAAACTGAGAATCAGATGGAACAGCAGACTTGGCTAATTCATGACAACCATTTTCATTATTAATGTGACAGTGTGAATTTTCCCTGGCGTAGGGGGCAGTAGATACCTGCATCATTGCAAGCAAGAAGTATTTTTGTGATGGTGTAAGACCTTACCAATTGATACCCGTTATGGTAAAAAAAAGCCCTGGGGAGTGTAAACTTCAGCTAAATAACAAGCTCATCAGACTACCTTTCATCAGTGGCAGCGAGTGAAGAGGTAAATGTGTAAAACAATAACATTTATAGATGGTGAAAGTTTTGTAACTGTTTGTTACAAATCAGTGAATGCTTTTTTGTCCTCATGGGCTCCCGTAGAAGGAAACTTGGTACCTAATATGGTGTCTGCAGCGATGCGGACTTGGTTGAAGGGTATTACCAGCAATCCATCGCTGCAAGAGAAAAGGCTCACGTTCTTTTTTGAAAATATGTTTTGTCTAATGAAAGTAGTTCATTTAGGACGATTAATTGATGCTCTGAATGTTTTAGACAAAGCAGCAATGAATGTAAATTTATTTCAAATAATTGTTTGTTTCTTTGAAAGTTGTTAATAAAGGTATTGTTTTAAAGTATCACAGCAACCAGCACCCCGGCATGCGTTGCGGTCGATGGCGCAATGCTCCCCGTCGCAATTCAACAATTATTTGCAGTCTTGTGTACTACACACTCGAAGCCTTACAGCGCACTTTCTCCAAGTGCACTTTGCTGAAGACCACATGGCGCAGTGCGAGTATTGAGATTGGCTTCCGTGTCGGGGGGGCTTAAGATTTTTGACATCTGTCTGGTTGCTCCCGGTGGCTGCCTGGTGGGATCTGAGTCCCTGGGCTGCGTTCACGATCTACACTGACCTAAAGGATTATTAGGAACACCTATCCAACTTCTCCTTAATGCAATTATCTAATGAACCAATCACATGGCAGTTGATTCAATGCATTTAGGGGTGTGGTTTTGGTCAAGACAATCTCCTGAACTCCAAACTGATGTCAAAATGGAAAAGAAAGGTGATTTTAGCAATTTTGAGCGTGGCATAGTTGTTGGTGCCAGATGGGCCGGTCTGAGTATTTCAGTTACTGGGATTTACACCCACAACCATTTCTAGGGTTTACAAAGTATGGTGTGAAAAGGGAAAAACATCCAGTATGCGGTAGTCCTGTGGGTGAAAATGCCTTGTTGATGCTAGAGGTCAGAGGAGAATGGGCCGACTGATTCAAGCTGATAGAAGAGCAACTTTGACTGAAATAACCACTCGTTACAACAGAGGAATGCAGCAAAGCATTTGTGAAGCCACAACACACACAGCCTTGAGGCGGATGGGCTACAACAGCAGAAGACCCCACCGGGTACCACTCATCTCCACTAGAAATAGGAAAAAGAGGCTACAATTTGCACGAGCTCACCAAAATTGGACAGTTGAAGAGTGGAAAAATGGTGGTGTTATTGGGGGGGGGGGGGGGGGGGGGGGGGGTCTTAGCACACTTTAGGTTTATTCGTGCCAAATGGTCATCGTTTAATTGCCACGGGCTACCTGAGCATTGTTTCTGGCCATGTCCATCCCTGCATGACCACCATGTACCCATCCTCTGATGGCTACTTCCAGTAGGATAATGCACCATGTCATAAAGCTCCAATCATTTCAATTTGGTTTCTTGAACATGACAATGAGTTCACTGTACTACAACGGCCCCACAGTCACCAGATCTCAACCCGATAGAGCAGTAGTGTAATATTCAGTTGCAAGTCCAGTTTTCTGGCCATCATAAAAATATGATAAAGTTGCATAGTATCCCTTTAAAGAAAAACTAAAATGTAAACCAATCATTTAGGACCCAACACTGACCCCTAGGGGACACCATAAGAAATGTACTAACAAACTCATCTTCACAATTTGTTTCTGCTCATCTAATAACTCCTCACACATTCTGACTGGGTACCACTTATATTTCATGAGTAAGATGTCATGATTCACGAGGTAAAATGTCTGTATTAGGTCGATGAATATTCCAATGCAAATAGTTTTTGGTCCAGTGAAGCAGTGATATCCTCTATAGAATGTATCTGTGCTAGTAATGTTGATCAATTCAGTCTAAATCCATATTGAGCTTCAGTAATTATTTTATATTTATCTACAAATGTATCCAATCTGTTTTTACAGGTGTGTTCTTGAATTTTTGAAAATATCTAGAGCATCTATTCCTGAAAGTGGTTATAAAAAAATTTAATTTGCATGCCTACAAGGAAGCCTTGTTCCACTTCTGGTTGTTGCAGTTAGGCACCGAGTTTTTTTGCATAGTAAAATAAATTGACACAGCATCATCTTTATATTCTGGGATAAAAGAAGAGAAAAAAAAACATCTGTCCATGTGACAATAACGATGCTAAACTAAATTAAAATTCTGAAAAAGTTTATTTTTGACAATTGTATATTTAAAATGTTTCAAAGACTGGTGGCTTGAGGTGCAGCTATTGGTGAGGGAGAAGAGTAGGAGGAGAAGAGCAGAGGGGAAAGAGTAGGGGGAGAGGATGCAGCCCTGCATGGGCGTCACACCCGTGGGGGATTCAACACCCACACTTTTCCAGCTGTTTTGCTCACCTCCACACCAGTCTGGTTTCTTTGCGTCGCACTCACTCTGTTTGCCTCATCTCCTTCTTCCACTCCCTCTTTTGACAGCCGATGTCGGGTTTCAAGGAGAGCAGTAGAGGGAGGGACGGAAGAGCTTGACTGAATTCATAATTTTACATCTTGACATTAGCTGTACAAAGTCTGAGTTTGATAAAGTGAAGAACAATTTGCAGAGGTTTATAACAGGCGCAGCGCCAGGTTTTCATTTTTGGGTGGGCCACGGTAATTTTGGGCGGACCTTAATAAGCAGTGACTTAAGTGAAGCAGGCAGGTCGCGCTAGAAAATTTCGTTTAAAAAGACATCATAAATGTGTTCCCCCATCGTTTTTATTTCTACAATATGAAGTAAAAACTCACAATTTAATTTTCAGTCATTTGTCATTAATATGTAGTCTACACCCGTGCATTAAGTGGACCATCTTCCAGCAAAGTGTCCAGCCCACCTCTCCAAATGCATAAAATGTGCATCACAGCCGCTAGTTAGGCGCACTGCGCGCTCCGTCAGCTACGTCATACAAGAGCAGAGCAAATAGAGAAAGAATAGAGGATAATTCTGTCTGGATGTGGATGGAGATTACATTTTACAGCAGCCTGATCATCATTTAAATACGTAAACCATCACCTGTCTTCTAGTCCACGCTATCGGCATAATTTTAATTGGTGTGTGTGTGTGTGTGTGTGTGTGTGTGTGTGTGTGTGTGTGTGTGTGTGTGTGTGTGTGTGTGTGTGTGTGTGTGTGTGTGTGTGTGTGTGTGTGTGTGTGTGTGTGTTTTCCACTTCAAACACTGGTCTAACCAACCAGACCAGCGTGTCCAGTAACATATTAATGTTACAATTAAACAGTTTCACTTCATGTAGGCTGTAGGAACATGTCACCTGCCGTGGCCCGGCCGCTTCTGCTCCACATAAACTTTGTGCGTGCTTTGTCAAATGTCTCTACAGGTGCTTTCTGAGCTGAAGAGGCTATTCTGCCTCAGACTGGATGCGTCATGCGTCTCCATATTAGAGACGGGAACAAGCGCTATTCAGCCAAAGTTTCATAATCAGCGAACATTTTTCCAAGTGACACATCCCTCAGAGAGACCGGGTTTCCAGACCGCTTCAGTGGGAGGAAATCTTACCGCAAGCGCCGTGGTTCTGCACTGCGCTCCGAACCCCATGGAAATATCTGTAATCTGCCATGTAACTGTTTTGCCTTCTTGTGAAGATTTTTGCAAAGAGAAACAATTAAACTTGATTAACCCCAGAGCCATGCGCACTGCACTGTACTGACTGTAAAATGAGGGTGAAAAGATTTAATCGGATCCTTTTCTTTTCACCATGGTTTAATGTAATGTTTCATTGAGTACAAACTTTAGTTACACCAATCTAACGAGACAGAGCCTGGATTTGTATTCTGAACAGTTTAAACATGTTTAAAACTGAGACATGCGTGACGCGCCTAAAATTCGCACCTGCTCCGCTATTACGGAAATTAAACTAACAAGATGAATAAAATAAAATTATTTTAGGCACAGACAACATCCCCCACACTTTTGAAAAGCTTGCAACATGCCTGCAGCCCTGGGGGATTCCGACGCTGGTGGTCCGGGTGTCTGATACATTTCTTCCCAGCCTCGTGTGCTGTCTCCATATCTGTCCGGAAGTCTGTGATCCGCTGGTGGCAGATGGGACTGGGATCCTGCATGGGATCGGGATTGTTAGACTTCTTCTTTACATTTTAAAATAAGAGCATATCTCCTAAACATCTGCTTATTTTAGTATAAATATATAAATAATGTTAAATAATGTCATGTCCGTGTCAGTGGATGAACTTTAATATCATCCAGCATCATTTCCTGGATGTACGTCTGTAACTGGTTTCAAACACAAAGGAAGCTTTTGCTGCTAATCGAGTGCCTGATAACATTTTATCTGTTCCTCTTTAAAAACTAATTTGTATAACTATTCTAATTTAATTTGACTAGATATCTGGTATTACAGTGTTATAGGAAAAATGTGTATACAGGAAAATAATGTTTCCTATGATGTATTGTTTTCTTTCACTACAGAAAAAAATGTAAGTTATGAATTAAAGTAATAAGACCAACTAATATTTCATATGATTATTTCCCCCCTGATGCTGCGAGTCACATTTTATGTCAACATATGTCATGAAAGTATGAAATCAGCCAAAGGTTGAAAATTCTTTGGATTTCACTCTTACATTCACTTCCTAGAGAATCACTTGGAGCAATAACCGACCAACCGTTGACATCTGGGGTGTGTGTGTGTGTGTGTGGGGGGGTGCAGCCATCAAGGGCGTGTTAAATATTTACAAAGAAGGAAGAAATGAACAGCTCTATAAAGCCCACTATCCTGGTTCCTGTTCTCACTTCGTTCACATCACCTACACCTTACTGGGTAAGTTCATGATGGAGGCAAAAAAGGACATACATATTTCCGTGTTATTTTTGCGAATAACTCTTAGGAAAAAAAACTTGAGTACATTTATTTAAATTATTGTCAAGTAACTGAAAAGAAAACAGTTTCTGAAGAGTTAGCACATCTTAATTCTTTAACAGCATGAATATATTATCAGTTACATTTTACAGCTCACACATAAACAAAGAAAAAGAGCTTTTTTCTATTTTTTGCAAAGTCTTGATCCTCAACACAGCACTCCCACTACTACATCAAGGCTTAGAAAGGTTTTGCTGTTTATTTCCCACAAATGTTTGGCCACAATATAACATATTAATAACTTTTTGCACACTTGTCTTTGACAAGTTACACCAGTCAGATCTTATTTAATAAATATTTATAATCATGATTTTTTTTATTAGCATACCAGTATCTCACCCATGGGACAATACCCCAATGCGTTCATTAAACATGGAAATTTAAGAGGTTAAATGTATTTTTTTCTTTTCCTTTTATCTTCTAAAGGTCATGGCTCATTTGATTCATCTGTTGCTGCTATTCGGTATGTTACAGTTACAGAATGTGATCCTTAAAGAAGAACTTTTTCATTCATTCCACTCTTTGTACATGTCTAATTTAGAATGATAACTTTTAGTTTTGTTTTTTTGTTTTTATGTATTTTTAGTGTGTTTTATTGTATAATTTTTTTGCAATTTACTTGTGAACAGGACATTTAAAAGTGTATAGAAAATATAGCAAAAGCATACAAACATCTCACTGGATGTTTCTCTTTTTAGCATCCCTCCTGGCAGTACTCCAGACTCCCGCAGCCTCTGGAGGATTTAATGTCACCCTTGGAAAATGCCCTGGATCATGGGAAATGAAAAATGTTCAAAATAATACTTTGTCTCTTGAGTGTGAACAAAGGCATTGTTCTAAATTCAATCTGAAAATTGAGGGTCTATCAAGGTATTGTTTTCATCCTAGCTATTTCAATACCTACACGTGCCTTACTATTACAATCAGCACTTTTGGCACGCCCCCAATGAAATCATATGATGGTACATATTTTTACTTTTATCTGAATGTCGGTAACTTAAATAGATATTACTGTCAAACATTGGGCAAACTGGAGCTTACCAAAGACTGAAGCACTTTATTTCATAATGCATACTTGCCGTGATAAAATAATTTCGTCCTCTTTAGAAACAATGTGCACATACTGCTGCATCACATGTACTTCACAGAATACTTGTGACAAGTCAAAATGTAAAAAGAGGTAAATATGTGTTTGTGACCTACTGTTTATGTCTTACTTTGTTAAAGTGTTATGAATTATACAACAGAAAGCTAAATGTTATTTACTTTTGTCATTAAGCGCAAATTTTTGTCCCTTTCAGATCAGACATCCCCATGAAACCAGATGGTATTTCAACAGTTAATGTAAATTTCAAAGACTCTTCCAATGTAGATGTTACTGACAGTACTGAAACTCCAACTGGTAAGTACTCTAATTTTTTCAAATTATTTTAACAGACTATAGAGTCTAAATTATAAGAAATGTTAAATGTGATTTTAAAAAGTCTAACAATCCTATAACATCCCATCATATTAAGATTCCTCAAACTGAGAGTAAATCAGTACTTGAATCGAGTGAATTGGACAAAGTGGCATTAAAAAGAGAAGCTGACTCATCACATGGGCTCAAAGAAACATTTTGGGATGATCAACACACCAGATCTGGTGCCAAAATGTATTTTTTGATTTATAAATAATTAATGCAAAGAAAGTCTGTCTTTACCTGAATTGATTCATTTCTTCTTCCAGATTTTCAAAAGTTGCAGACAAAAGGCAAAAGTCAAATAATATGTACAGATTCAAAATAGTCACGAGTTCATGTCATAGAACATCTTTTCATGCCACTTTTTATTCCCCCTGTGCACTGTCTGGCTGTAAAGCTGTCAGAACTGGTGTCTGAGTGGGAGAACCAAGATGGCGGCAGACGAGTAAAACGCGTTGGCTCAAGCTGTCACAGGCCTAACCTCAATACTCGCACTGCGCCCTGCGGTCTTCACCAAAGTGCACTTGGAGAAAGTGTGCTGTAAGGCTTTGAGTGTGTAGTACACAAGTGAGCAAATAATTGCAGAATTGAGACAGGGAGCATTGCGTAATCGATCGCAACGCATGCCGGGATGCTGGTCGCTGTGATGCTTTTTCCAAAAACCTTTATTAACAACTTTTAAACAAACAAACAATTATTTGAAATAAATTTACATTAATTGCTGCTTTGTCTAAAACATTCAGAGCATCAACAAATCATCCTAAAATGAACTACTTTCATTAGACAAAACATATTTTCATCAAAGGAATTTGAGCCTTTTCTCCTGCAGCAATGACTTGTGGGTAATACCCTTGCCCGAGGTCCCCATCGCTGCGGACTTGGGTGAAGTGCAGATTAAGGGTGCAATGGGGGCGTAGTCAACCTCCGCTCTTGAGAATCGAGACACCCTACGAACTTGCACCCCTGGCCGGGAACGCACAATTGAAGGGCACGAGGGTGCAAGTGCGAGTATTGGGATTGGGCCACAGTCTGTCTCGTCTCCCCAGTTTCTGTTCAGTCCTGTGTCCATGTTAATTGCTCTCACCTGCCTCTTGTTACCCCAATCACTCAAGTTCCCAGCTCATCATGTATTTAAACCCTCTCAGTTCTGTGTGTCTTGTCGGTTCATTGTTTCAATGTCAGCGTGTTCTTTATTAAAAACCCTTCAAAAGTCATCTGCCTGCTTCAGTCACTCATCTGCATTTGGATCCTCACCTCAGCCTTCAACTCAGCAGCACCCCTGACAGAAGCACCCAACTGGTTTTATCCTTCAAGGGGATTTTAGCCCGAATTTTGTACTAGACTAGACGCCTAATGCCCCACTTTGGATCCGACATATGAAGTGGCTCCTAAACATTTCAGTAGAATGGTGACAAATACTAAAAAGAGCACAAATGCTTGCGCTGCAACCCCGGAAGTAAAACAGATCTCTGAAGCAGGTTGCAGCCACCAGAGTTTGAACTCCTTCAGGTCCGCAGATGCCAAATTCTTGCTCTTCAATTTACGTTTCCATTTTTATTCACAATTTTTAATAAAAAAATTTCCAATCATTTTTTATTTGATTTTTTATTGCGGTGTTCTTGTGAAACGCCTCGTGATTTATATCTTTTGAGGTGCTTAAGTGAAAAATCGTTTCTTCTTCTACTTACTTTACTTATGTTAATTACTGCTGCTTCAGTTAGAAAACAGAAATTCTCAGAGAAACCTTCCTGAGGGATTAAAAAAGGCCATCTGAATCTGACAAGTTTGAGTTTTGTTTTTTCAAGGTTCCTTTCTGATGTTCTATGATGAACCCAAAAGTTGGATTGATGCCTTTCAGTACTGCAACCAAATGGATAACCCTCTGGTGGAAATGACCAACCAGACCGTGCGAGATGAGATGAATCGTGTTCTGGCAAATAGAACAGGCTTGGAGAACGGAGTTTGGATCGGCTTGGAAAGGTCCATGTTTGGCACTGATGTGAACTGGATGTGGGCATCAGGATCCAGAGCTGAGAACCCGGGATGGAATTTCAGCTTTCCAGTAGACCGCTGGAACAACCACTGTGGAAAGGCAATCTGGCTTAATGAGTCCAGAGAAATCAAGCTGCTGGATGAAAACTGTCATGAAAAACTACCGTACATCTGTCAAGGTGAGCTGAGTTGAGGTTTTCAGTCCAATCTCGAATGAAATTAATTCAGGTCACATTTTCGTTTAGTTGAATTTTCAGGTTTTTTTAGCCTTCAAATAAAAATTTCCAAAGTAGGAACTAAGATTCAATATTCAAAATAAAACAATCAAATAGAAAATGAAATTTGTGTGATTTTCTTTCTCCACAGATCTGTAAACAGTGAAGCTCGGGAAACTAAACTGATCATTTAATCATTCCTTTGGTGGTTCAGCAGCATCACATGTGTAATGACTGCCTCTACATTTCTCTTACACTGATGAAGCAGAACAACTTATGGAAACCAAATTATTGCTGTGGAGTTCATCTCACATTCGTAAGCAGACACACACACACAGACTCCAATATATTTGTGTGTGACATCTGAGACACACCAAGGTTCTCCCAATTTAAAATGATCCTGACTTCTATGCGAGGAGCAGGAAGGCACCGTCAGTGGCATGCAGCTCCTCTCTGCCAAAACATTCCAGTTACACATCAATGGTCTGGAAACAGTTAACATAGCCACTTCCTATATGAAAGGGCCTAATGGTGTAGCAGGGTCTGTGTGGAGCCAGAGATTACATGACTATTAATGGAATTTTACTGGGACACTGGGCCTCTCTGCTAGGCTGCTGTCCCCACACCCTGGATAAATGGAGGAACATGGATGGATGGATGGATGGATGGATGGATGGATGGAGGAATTTCTGTTCTTCTAAACTATGTTTTTTCCTTGTACGTTCTAACATATAATTGCTGTAATAAAATGACATTTGTGTGACCATTATCATTCATTAGTACTTTTGAAAGTTTACTTTTTTTAACTTGTTTTGGTTTATATGTTAAATGTTTCACTCTAATGTCAGGAAACTGCTGAGATTTTGTATCACTAATAAAAATATTGAAAAACAATTACAAATTAAAAAAACAGGTAACCTAAAGCATGCACCTGGTGACTACCGTTTTTAAATTTGAAATCTTGTGTAACCAGTCTGGGAGTGAAACATGACTCTGATCTGTCAATGAGTTTACAAATTAAGGCTACAGACAGGTCTTGTTTTTTTTTTCAACTACGTTTGAAGTCAATAGTCAAACGGCCACAGCTGGAGTCTGTTGTTCACGCCTTTGTCACCTCACGTTTGGACTATGCCAACTCAGTACTTATTAATGCAGTGGCTAGATTCCTGATAAGCACCTCTAGACGCTGTCACATTTCACCTGTCCTTGCACGCTTGCACTGGCTGCTTGTTAAATATCGTATCCTGTTTAAGGTTTTAATCTTTGTTTAAAATATCCTGAATAGTCAAGCCCCTGCTTATCTGTCAGAACTGCTTAAGCCTTATGTTCCACCCAGAAACCTGAGATCGGCAGATCACTTGCTTTTGTGCATCCCAAAAATGAAGTATAAATATCGTGGGGAGCGGGCCTTTGCGTTCGCTGCCCCTAAACTTTGGAATGCTCTCCCCCTTAGTGTTCGACAGGCCCCATCACTGGGTCGATTCAAGTCTGTACTGAAGGCCTACTTCCATCATTTAGCTTTTGATCAATGACCAAGCTTTTATTGTTTGTTATGTTTTTATTGTGACTTTGCTCTTTTTTTACTCTAGTATGTTTCTTCAGCTGCAGACGATTCCCTAATCAGGAACGCAGGTTTAAAAGGAGGACGGAGACACTTCATTTCGCCGGATGATTGTACCAGTTCAGGTAGCACCAGCCACTCGACCTTGAACCTTGAAACCTGTTTAACTCGTGTTTGGATTATTGACCTTGGATCGTAGTTTCGGATTTGGATTTGGATATTCCCTTATACTTGTTTGTCTCGCTCAGGATCACCTCATCATCATCTCACCCTCGCTGTCTCCAATTCTGGATTATTCTACACGTCCCGTCCTCCTCCGACGTTCCGGCTCGGATTTCCCTCTGCTGCCTCACTCTACGACATCTCTCATCCTCTGCTCAGCGTCCTTCCCGGCTACACTTTCTCTCAGCACCGACACCTCAAAGACTCGAGCCGTCTTGGCTCCTCAGCACAGGACTTCCCTGTAGCAGTTCTTAGTTCCGTTTATAATAAAGACATTTTACTTTATTTTTTGGACTTGTGTGATGATTCTGCATGTCTTGGGTTAGGCACTTACCTCGAGCCATGACAGAATCATCCGGCCACGTAGCTAACCCAGCGGAATCAGCACTCATGGATCTGGCTACCCGGATGTCCCAACAGGAGCAGACACTCCCCGTCCTCGTGGAGCAGATCACCATCTCCAACCAACGTTACCAACGTTTAGAGACCGTACTGCAGCAGCTCCAGGAACAACTCTCCTCTTCCGTCCTCGCTCCAGCGCCAGCCGCCGCTCCGGAGTATGGAACAGCACTACACGCCCACGCCTCTGGAGGAGTGGTTTCACCCGGACAGGAAGCGCGCTGTCTTCCGGAAATCACCCACTGCCGTTCGGCTCCTCCTCGGCAATGCCCGACTTTTTCCGGTGAGTTCGAGGATTGTTTTGGATTTTTACTGCAGTGCCGCCTAGCGTTTGAAGAATCCCCCAAGTCTTTTCCTACTGACTCTATGAAGATTTCTTTTATTATTGGACTTCTTAGAGGAAAAGCACTTAAGTGGGCAGAGGCTAAGAGTAGAAATTCCGATTTTCTGTCTGGTTCCTACTCTGATTTTCTGGAGGAGTTTAAACTCATTTTTTGCAGTTCCGAGACCACCACTGACATCAGGAAGATACTTTTGCGCCTCTCGCAGGGAAGGAAGTCAGTGGTTGACATGTCTCTGGAATTCAGGACTTTGGCTGCGATGACATCATGGGGGGATGAAGCTCTCAAAGCAGTATTCATCGAGGCTTTAAACGACAGGGTTAAGAACCAGCTGGCTCTTTGCCCCGAACCCCCAACTCTGGACGGGTTGATCACCTTATGCATCTCCATCGACAAGAGACATCGGGAGCTTCTGAAGACATCTTCCAGGGATCTGTCACCACCATCAGCACCTCGCCCATCCTATAGGTCTCCTCCTCTGGATGCCTCCGAGGAGCCTATGCAGGTGGGACGTACCCATCTCACCCCGGAAGAACGCCATCATCGCTTCAGCAAGGGGCTGTGCCTTTACTGTGGTAAACCAGGACACATGGTGCAATCCTGCCCTGCGGCGTCAAAAGGGCGTGCCCACCAGTAGTTCCGGGAGTCCTGGTGGGCAGTCAGACAGGTAAAGAAACCTCCCGTTTCCTTATAGAATGTGCATTGACTGTTAACGGTCGTCGCTACCAGACGACTGCTCTTGTGGACTCTGGATGTGAACAGTCATTGGTGGACCCGCAACTGGTCCGCAAGTGGGGTCTGTCTACAGTTCCACTGCTGGAACCATTAACTGTGTCCTCCCTAGACGGGAGGTCTCTGTCCACCATCACTCTCCGAACTGAACCACTCCAGCTCCAGGTCTCAGGTAACCACACAGAGACAACCTCACTGTTTGTGTTTCCCTCTCCGCAGAACCAAATAGTTCTAGGCCATTCCTGGCTTAAGGAACACAACCCATGTCTGGACTGGAGGTCTAACCGTGTCGAGACCTGGAGTCCGGAGTGTCTTCTAACCTGTTTAACCTCTGCTGCAGCTGGATCTAAGGACTCTGAAAGGACTATTAGGGAGCCGCCAGATCTCACCCAGGTACCTAGTGAGTACCATGATTTACAGCAGGTGTTTAGCAGAGATAAAGCAGCCACGTTACCACCTCACCGTCCCTTTGATATTGGCATCGACCTGTGGCCAGGAGCTCCGCTCCCAACCAGCCGCCTCTACAGTCTGTCCAAGCCTGAACAGGACAGTATGAGACAGTACATCCACGAGGCCTTGACCAATGGCATTATCAGGCCATCCACCTCGCCTCTGGGAGCTGGTTTTTTCTTCGTGGCCAAGAAGGATGGCTCGCTCCGCCCTTGCATAGACTACAGGGGTTTAAACCAAATAACGGTAAAGGACAAGTACCCGCTTCCTCTGCTTTCGTCTACCTTTGAACCTGTGCAGGATGCCACCGTTTTTACGCGGTTGGATCTCCGCAACGCATATCATTTGGTCAGGGTGCGCCAAGGTGACGAATGGAAGACTGCGTTTAAGACACCTCTGGGGCACTTTGAATATTTAGTGATGCCTTTTGGTCTCACCAATGCTCCAGCGGTGTTTCAGAGACTTGTGAACTCTGTGTTGGGGGACTACATAAATGACTTTGTGACTGTATATCTTGACGATATTTTGATTTTCTCTAGGTCCTTGGCCCAACACAAAAGACACGTTCGGTTGGTTCTCCAACGGCTGTTGGAGAACAGACTTTTTGTGAAAGCTGAGAAATGTGAGTTTCATGTGTCTGTTGTTAAGTTTCTTGGATTTGTTTTAGAGAGTGGACGGTTGAGGGCGGATCCTGATAAGGTCCAAGCTGTAACGGAGTGGCCTACCCCTACCACCAGGAAACAGCTGCAGCGGTTCCTGGGCTTTGCAAACTTTTACAGACGGTTTATCCTCAATTATAGCCAGACCGCAGCCCCTTTGACAGCCCTAACCTCTGTTGTCAAGCCCTTTTCTTGGTCTCCAGAAGCAGAAGCCGCATTTCGGACACTTAAGAAGTTCACGGAGGCTCCCGTCCTCTATAGACCAGACCCCAAGCGGCAATTCACCGTGGAGGTGGACGCCTCGGACACCGGGGTCGGGGCAGTGCTCTCTCAGGTATCGTCGGAGGACCACAAACTCCATCCGTGTGCCTTCTACTCTCGGCGCTTAACACCCACTGAGAGCAGGTATGACGTTGGGGACAGGGAGTTACTGGCTGTAAAACTGGCTTTAGAAGAGTGGAGACATTGGCTGGAGGGGGCTGAACTACCTTTCATCATTTGGACTGATCATAAAAACCTGATCTATCTAAAGGAGGCAAAAAGACTAAATCCTCGACAGGACAGGTGGTCTTTGTTCTTCTCCCGTTTTAATTTTGTTCTATCCTATAGACCGGGGTCTAAGAACGTGAAGCCTGACGCCCTGTCCCGACAGTACGCTGCTGAGGATGAGACGGCTCCTTGCACCATTCTGCCTTCCTCCTGCATTGTCGCAGGAGTAACCTGGCCCATAAGAGACCAGGTCCTGGAGGCCCTTAAGACTGATCCCAGGCCAGGTAACGGACCCTCTAACAAACTGTTTGTTCCCCAAGGATTACGGGGAAAAGTTATCCACTGGGCTCACACCGGGAGATTTTCCATCCACCCCGGAGTGGGACGCACAGTGGCTCTGATCAGGCGATCTTTCTGGTGGTCCTCCCTCTACAAAGACGTGAAGGAGTATGTGTCGGCCTGCCATGTCTGTGCTCAGCAAAAGGGCTCTAACCAGCCTCCTGCAGGTCTGCTCTGTCCTCTACCAGTACCGTCCCGTCGTTGGTCCCATATCGCCTTGGACTTTGTTTGTGGTTTGCCACCTTCGCGTGGTTTTACTGTTATTTTGACTGTGGTGGACAGGTTCTCCAAGGCCTGTCATCTGGTGCCGTTAAAGGCCCTCCCTACCTCTGCCGTTAAGGCCCAGTTGTTAATAAAACATGTTTTTCGTCTGCACGGAATCCCAACAGAGATCCTCTCTGACCGTGGTCCCCAGTTCGTATTCCGCATCTGGAAGGAATTCGCCACTGCCTTGGGTGCCCAGGTGGCCCTGACCTCGGGGTTTCATCCGCAGACCAATGGACAATGCGAGCGGATGAACCAGGAACTGGGCGCTATGCTTCGCTGCGTCTGTGCCACCAGCCCGTCCACCTGGAGCGAGCATTTGGCTTGGGTCGAGTATGCCCATAATAGCCATGTCTCCTCCGCCACAGGTCAGTCTCCCTTCGAATCCTCCCTCGGGTATCAGCCCTCTCTGTTCCCCCTTCAGGCAGAGACCACCCTCACCACTCCTCAGTTCCTTCGTCGGGCCCGTCGCACCTGGGTCGCCACGAGATCGGCCCTTCAACGGACCGCGGAGAGGAACCAGCGACTGGCTGACCAACACCGCCGCCCAGCTCCCACTTACTCTCCTGGTCAAAGGGTCTGGTTGTCTTCCAGGGATGTACCGCTGAAGGCTACCTCTAGGAAGTTCTCTCCAAGGTTCCTTGGTCCCTTCAGAGTATTGGCGGTTCCTAGCCCGACGACCGTGCGTTTGGAGCTTCCTTCGTCGCTCCGGATCCATCCTGTGTTCCACGTCTCCCTGGTGAAGCCCGTCGTTTCCAGCCCTCTGTGCCCAGCCCCGGCTCTGCCTCCTCCTGCTCGGCTCTACAGAGGGGGACTGGTGTACAAGGTTCGGCGCATCCTCGACTCCCGCCCCCATGGTCGGGGTTTCCAGTATCTCGTGGACTGGGAGGGATACGGTCCGGAGGAACGTTCCTGGGTTCCCCGTTCCTACATCGAGGATCCCTCTCTAATCTCCGCCTTCGAGGCCTCCAGATCCCGTGCTGGGACGCCAGGGGGCGTCCGTTGAAGGGGGGGCACTGTCATGTCCCTGAGCAGAGGTGAGTTCCATCATCTCCTCTCACCAGAACCTGAGTTCATTCTCCGCAGGTGGGGAGCAGAGGGAACTACAGCTGCAGACGATTCCCTAATCAGAAACGCAGGTTTAAAAGGAGGACGGAGACACTTCATTTCGCCGGATGATTGTACCAGTTCAGGTAGCACCAGCCACTCGACCTTGAACCTTGAAACCTGTTTAACTCGTGTTTGGATTATTGACCTTGGATCGTAGTTTCGGATTTGGATTTGGATATTCCCTTATACTTGTTTGTCTCGCTCAGGATCACCTCATCATCATCTCACCCTCGCTGTCTCCAATTCTGGATTATTCTACACGTCCCGTCCTCCTCCGACGTTCCGGCTCGGATTTCCCTCTGCTGCCTCATTCTACGACATCTCTCATCCTCTGCTCAGCGTCCTTCCCGGCTACACTTCCTCTCAGCACCGACTCCCCAAAGACTCGAGCCGTCTTGGCTCCTCAGCACAGGACTTCCCTGTAGCAGTTCTTAGTTCCGTTTATAATAAAGACATTTTACTTTATTTTTTGGACTTGTGTGATGATTCTGCATGTCTTGGGTTAGGCACTTACCTCGAGCCATGACACCTGTCCCACTGGGAATTATCATTGTATATTATATTTTCATGCACTTTACTTCTTAGAAGCCTATTTTAAAGCAATAATTTTTAATGTTTAATAATTAAGAGACTGCTGTTTTCCAGAATCTAAATATTTTTAAGGCTTTATATCTGACTCAAACCAGTAGGGTGTATAATTATCACACTCTAGCTTATTCATTATTAATTTTGGCATTTCAATTAAATCATACTCTAAAATACTGATAGAGTATAATTATTTACAGTGTTTTTAGGTCTAGCATGATGCTGATGAATGATGGTAACTTATTTAGGTTTAAAGTAAAGCCCTATCTGCTGCATTCACTCTTAGGCAACTGCTCTTTACTGTATAAAGGCACGGCTTTCCAGTCTCCAGCTCCTCTAATTGCATCCATTGTTTTTAACACAGAATTTAGTCTGAGTCTTTTAATTCAAATTCATCATTAAAAACTGTGGAATTCCATATATATAATTCCATATAACGGTGTGAACATTGTTTTCTTGGTTTCTTCTATTTTATTTATCAATATGTGGAACCCAATAGTGCAACAGTAGCTATGATTACATGAACTTTATTAGTTCCTCCCCTAAAACCCAGAGATCATTTGCCATGACGACTAGAATAAAACAAACAAATATGGAAGGTATGCACAAGTGAGGTCAGGGCAAGCACACACTACTCTCATAATCAAGGTAAGCTTAGATCCCCAATTGGCACTGGTGATGTATCTCCTGCAACTCTAAAACCCTGTGCTGATGTGCTGGCTCCAGGGTTTACAGGCATTTTCTACTCCTCATCACAGGCATCTCATGTGCCTGCCTAATTCAAGATATCCACCATAGTCCCAGTACCCAAGAAGCTAAGGATCACTGGACTCAATGACAACAGACCTGTGGCTCTGACATCTGTGGTCATGAAGACATTTGAGCACCTGGTTCTCCCCCACCTCACAGACCCTCACAGCCCCCTTTTTGGACCCCCTGCACTTTGCCTACAGAGCCAACAGGTCTGTAGATGATGCCATCATCTCTAATGACCTTCTGACTCACAGAG